TAAAAAGTTGTGTATTTATGTTTACTAATTTTAAGAAGTGTCTCAAATTCATCACTGAATGTTTGAAGAAGGAATGGGGTACAGGGCTTTAAAGCAGAATTAAAGCTGATCTCCAGGTATGGTTTTTATTGCATGGTTAGTGTTTGGACCAAAATAAGCAGGGCAGGGATGGTTGTCCCGGTGCAGTGAAATCATGTGAAGGATGGAGCCATATAGTGATTTCCTGTCTCCTACAGGAGGATTGACAGTGAACTCCCTACAAAAGAAGTGACAGCATCTGAAAGGAGGGGAGAGCAGGGAGGAAGTGCAGGCTGTGTTCTACTCCCCCCTCAGCTCCTCCCTCCTGCCAGAGCAGCGCTCCTTGATACAGTTGACACAGGAATGCTGTCACACTGGAACACAGTTCAGGGTTTGATTACCTGCCCCCTTTCTCCTCCCAATATTGCTCCTCTAGTGGTAGCAGACAATGTGTCTCGATCTGAGAGTATTTCTGTGTCAACTCCTGCATAATGACAAAAGGGAAGAGCTGGGGAACAGGATATGACCAGGGCATTCTCCCTGATCTCACCTCCTTTCTTCTGCTGTGCTGGGGATGAGAGGACTTGTGCTAGGAGGTGGGAATGGGGGGGGGGGGGATTTTATGCTGGGTAATGGGAGAATTGAGGGGGATTTGTGCTAGGAGGGTGGATTTGGAGGAGAGAGGATTTGTGTTAGGATGGGGGATGGGGGGGGAGATTGTGATAGAAAGGGGGCATTGGGGGGGGGGGGGGACAATTTGTGCTAATAGAGAGATTGGGGGGATTTATACTAGGACAAGTGATTTGGGGGGAGGATTTGTGCTTGGAAGGAGGATTTAGGAGTTAAGATTTTTGCTAGGAGGGGAAATTGGGGGAGGATTTGTGCTAGGAGAAGTGATTTTTTTCTTTGGTGGGGAGTAATTGGGGAGGAGAGGATTTGAACTGGGGAGAGGTGATTGGCAAAGGGAAAGATGTGTGCTGGGAGTACGGTTGCCACCTCATCCCTTTATAACTGAACACACATTAATTACATAGGTTCTGAGGCTAATTTATTGCACATAGTTTAATTACTACCTTAATCAACCATGCTGTATGCAAAAGTCATTGCTAACAGGATGAAAGATTTAAAATCAACCACGGAAACGATGTAATTAATATGCATTTTGGTTTTAAAGGGATGAGGTGCCAACCTTAGCTGGAAGGGGGATTTGTACTGGGAGGAGGGGGATTTTTTGCCAAGACACGATGCTAACACACCGTTGAAAGGGAGGGGGGCCCAGTTTGTCATCATCGCCCTTGGCACTTGATGACCTTGTCCGGGCATTGAATGTATGTATAAATATTCTATGCCTGTGGAACACAGAATCACCATAGTAGTCAGTGTTAATTCAATGGTTGCCAAGGTTTTCAAGGTCCTTCTACATAGTGAAAACAGTGGGTTGCTCACTCAGCATGGCCACCATTTACAGAACACCTTGTAATTTTTCAATGAATACAAGGATCTCTGATTAAACAAGGTGGAGATGATGCCACTGCCCCTCCTCTGCATCTAGTTCAAAGAATGCAAAGCTGGACCATACCTGGAGCTTTAAACCACGGTGGTGAGTGACATGTATTTGCCATAATGTAGCAATATTCACAGCATAATTGCAAATTATGACAAACTTACCTCTAGATGCACGTCACTAGGGTTGTTGTCATCTGGTGTGGTAAAAAAATGGTGTTACCCCCCCCCCCAATCACCATGCCCCCCCCCCCCGTGAACATGATACAAGAGATAGCCAGAGATAGTGGACATGATAAAAGAGACTGGTGGAGACTGCAGACATGATACAAGAGATGGCTATAGATTGCGGACATGATACAAGAGATGGTTAAAGGCTGCGGACATGATACAAGAGATGGCCAGAGACTGCGGACATGACACAAGAGATAGTTAAGATTGCAGACATGATACAAGAAATGGTTAGAGACTGCAGACATGATATAAGAGATGGTTAGAAACTGCAGACATGATACAAGAGATGGTAAGAGACAGCGGACATGATTCAAGAGATGGTTAGAGACTGCGGACATGGTACAAGAGATGGTAAGAGACTGCAGACATGATACAAGAGATGGTTAAAGGCTGCAGACATGATACAAGAGATGGTTAGAGCCTATTTGCAGACATGATGCCAGAGATGGTCAGAGACTGCAGACATGATATAAGAGATGGTTAAAGGCTGCAGACATGATATCAGAGATGGTTAGAGCCTGTTTGCAGACATGATGCCAGAGATGGTCAGAGACTGCGGACATGATGCAAGAGATGGTCAGAGACTGCAGACATGCTATAAGAGATGGTTAAAGACTGAGGACATGGTACAAGAGATGGTTAAAGGCTGTGGACATGATGCAAGAGATGGTCAGAGACTGCAGACCTGATACAAGAGATGGTTAAAGGCTGTGGACATGGTACAATAGATGGTTAGAGATTGTGGACATGATACAAGAGATGGTTAAAGACTGCGGTGAAATCACTAATTGTCACGGATCACCTATAAGTTGATCAAATTAACAACAATGCATGATAATCCAAAGGATCACTAAGAAAAAGGTAATAAAAAAAGTAATTCCCAGGTAAATTAAAATAAAAGACACATTTATTGTCAAGCCAATAAAATCATGAATGTAAAATTCTTGTGCAAATGGACTTCTGCAAAGTCTGGAATGGAGGATGACTCATTGAACATGTCCCAAGACCAGAAAACTGTGCTCCCTGGGGCTCTTGTGTGGGGCAGATGGAATACAGACACTGGTGACAGCTGGAATCAAGTGAATGGATTCACCTAGCAGCCCTGGGGGATGCTGCCGTTGGACCGGAAGTGACTTCAGAAGCGTGGAAAGAAGCCGACAGGAGGATGCTGGATGTGGGCAGAGAAGGTAGTTGAGCTGCCTCTGGAATGTCCAAAATGTCCGAGCCCAGTTGGCACATGTGCACTTCCAAAGTCATCCAGCAGCCTTTTTTTTTTTTTTTTTAAATGGAAACTCTGGTGTCACCCCTCAGGGTGGGTGTCACACGGGTGTGGTGTGCACCCCCATAGCAATGCCACTGTCTAGATGTGCTCTCTTTCAGGGATGTGAGATCCAAACTCCCTGCATCAGGTTTCAATGTCTCCTGCTTTGCCTACTGAGCAGGCACTAATGATGTAACTTTGACTTACATGATCTTGGTGCCCTGGCTCTATGGCTGACATCTGTAGAACACCAGAGCTGTACAGTGTGCTATGCATACAACACAGTGTGCAGATTTAAAAAAATTTTAGCTGGAAAGTATAATTTTTTGACAGAAGGGACTGATAAATTCTACCCTACTCGCTGGCAAATGTCCTTTTTATATATGAATACTTAATTTCTTGTGCAGCTAATACCATACCTCTTAACTTAGACAATCTTATATGAGACGCCACTGTTAAATCCAGATTCATACCTACATAGATATTGACAGCTGAGGTAGCAAATGTACAGAATTCAGGGCCAATGTCATGTTTTCTGAAGCTTTGATAAAATGATATTGCTCTTTTAAGGCCACCCACACATAGTCATTTACTGTTTTCTATTGCCTTGGTACCTAGCTTCTCACTTGTTAACCACACGTTTTTCTCAATGATATGGGCTAATTTTACACTGTTTTCATTTCCAGTCACAATTTCCTACATTCTGTCACTTCTCCCTATGAGATAGATGCTGATTGTGTGGAGTTTACAAGTCCTAAGAGTGACAACACGTGGCGTCAGACCCCTGCCCTTCTCACCAACTCCTGAAACTGTTACTGACTGTTACTGGGTTGGGTCAATTACTCAATTAACCCTTCACACTGCCACCACCACCTTTTTACAGAGAAGGAGGAAACTCACAAATCCTAGCAATAACACTATGATATTAGCATAGGCGTATGTAATACATACTGTCACCACAGACAGATATATTCAGAGGATTATTACATACAGAAGCACTCTTCAAGAGACAGGGATTCTTTAGTTTGTATTAACAGTTTAGAGACAGTTTCAACACTTTTCAAAATAGGGTTTATTACTAAAAAGGTCAAAATTGTGCAATTAAAACATTTATAGAAAAAGATGTTACAAAGATATAAAGAGAGCAATAAAACAACAGAGAAATAAAAGAAAGGAGTTTAGAAGGCAGAATACTTGCAATGTTCTGGTTTAAGCAGAGTCCAAGTGTCCGAACAAAAAGGTTGCCTTGACTCTCAAGTCCGTTAGATGTTTCCGGATTGATGTTAAATGAGAGCTCCATTCTCCAGGCCTATCAGTCTTTTTCTGTGATATTAAAGGGGAGTCGCCTGAGAACAAATGACCAATCATCCAGTTTGGGGATGGGTGCTAGGTGGTAATCAAGGTTATGACCAAGTCCCAACTGCAGTTTCATACTAATATTAGAAAAATATTCCTGCGCCAATACAAAATAAGTGAATCACCCTTCTAAATTGCTGCTGTGCAAAAAATGTGTGAAAACACAAACAGTAAAATATATAGCCTTCCACCTATCAAGGTCTTGAGAACGCCCGATGGGAGGGGCGAAACGCATTGACGCAATTCCGGTCTATTTGCCATACGTCTGACGTCACTTCCGGTAAATGGAGCGCACGCCGAGCGGTGCGTTCCAGCGGCCATTTTGTGGGATCTAGGCTGGTTCTCTGCTGTTCCTCTGTTTTATCTGGCTGCATTGGTGTGGGAATCCTGGATTATGTGGCTGGTGTTCATCATCAGGCGGTCATGGGCTTAATGTGCCTTTTACAAGCTGTTGAAATGTGAGTGGCCTGGATTTTTGTTTCTTTGGTATAATATTTAGAGATGAGCGAAGTATTCAAAAATTCGATTCGACTGATTCGGCGAATTCGTGGAAAAATTTCGATTCGAGTCGAATATATTCGCTGTTAATTTAACTTAAAAAAGGGTGTTTCTAGGCTTCAGAGAGACTTAATATTAGTGCTGAACACTGTACCTTTAATTTAAATGCCCTTGGAGTCTGCTGGGGAAGAGAAATAATACTGTCAGTCAGTATGACATGCAGATGAGTGCCGTCGATCTTAGAATCACCGCACACTTCACTCATTTGGGCAGTCACGGGGCCAAAACCAGAGTGTGGAGCCACAGTGTGGCGGTGGAGGCAGCAGCAATGGGAGGCCATACAGCACCCTATGACAAAAATGGAAACCACCAGCAGTGTGAGGAGACCTGAAAGTGGCACATGGCAGAGTGTGGCGATAGAGACAGCAGCAATGGGAGGCCGTACAGGGGACCCATGACACACTCTGGACCTGGCAGCAGCATGGGGAGGCGGTACAGGGGCCCATGGCAGATTACGGGCCTGGCAGCAGCATGAGGAGTCGGTACGGGGGCCCATGGCAGATTACGGGCCTGGCAGCAGCAATGGGAGGCCGTATAGGGACCCATGACACACTCTGGACCTGGCAGCAGCATGGGAAGGCGGTACAGGGGCCCATGACAGATTACGGGCCTGGCAGCAGCATGAGGAGTCGGTACGGGGGCCCATGACACACTCTGGACCTGGCAGCAGCATGAGGAGGCGGTACAGGGGCGCATGACAGATTACGAGCCTGGCAGCAGCAACTTGGACAGGATGACGTTCAGCTTCTGCACCGTCTGGTGCGTGCTCGCAAACTGTTGTCTCTTGGAAACGGATTCCAAGAAAGACTGCTGACGGAATCCGTGAAGAGGAGTAGCAGGAGAAGGAGCATCTGAACGAGCGGAATATGCCAACAAGCGACAACAGGGGCCCATGACAGATTACGGGCCTGGCAGAGCAGCATGAGGAGTCGGTACGGGGGCCCATGGCAGATTAGGGGCCTGGCAGCAGCTATGAGAGGCCCGTAATCTGCCAGCAACACCTATGACAAAAAATGGAACACCACCAGCAGTGTGAGGAGACCTGAAAGTGGCACATGGCAGAGTGTGGCGATGGAGACAGCAGCAATGGGAGGGCCGTACAGGGACCATGAGAGACTCTGACCTGGCAGCAGCATGAGGGAGGCGGTATAGGGGCCCATGGCAGATTAGGGGCCTGGCAGCAGCTATGGGAGGCCCGTAATCTGCCAGCACCCTATGACAAAAAATGGAATACACCAGCAGTGTGAGGAGACCTGAAAGTGGCACATGGCAGAGTGTGGCGATGGAGACAGCAGCAATGGGAGGCCGTACAGGGACCATGAGAGACTCTGGACTTGGCAGCAGCATGAGGAGGCGGTATTAGGGGCCCATGGCAGATTTTCTAGGGGCCTGGCAGCAGCTATGGGAGGCCCGTAATCTGCCAGCACCCTATGACAAAAAATGTAACACACCCAGCAGTGTGAGGAGACCTGAAAGTGGCACATGTTTGGGGCATGATTCATGGCGGATTTAGTCAGTTGTGTCAGGAACTGGTGGTTTGAAATCCAGACTAATCACGCCTGATTCATTTTCACAAACGTCAGTCTCTCCACACTTTGGGTGGACAGTCGTGTCCTCCGCGGAGTTGCAATACCTCCTGCCGCACTAAAAACATGCGCTCCGATGCCACGCTACTGGCCGGGCATGACAGCCTTTCAAGGGCAAATTCAGCTAGTTGGGGCCAAAGGTCAAGTTTCGTTGCCAGTAGTCAAGGGGATTGTCTACCTCGGTTGGCAGGGTGCTGTCCAAGTAGGCCTAAGCCTGTTGTTTGAGGTCCTGCTCCAGGTCCACCTGATGTGCTGCTGCTGCTGCTGCGGCTGGTTAGTAGTTTCCTCACTGCGCTGGTGAAGGAAAGCTACTCATCATCGACTGCAGACTGAGGCAGCCGCTGCTGGTGGAGCTGCACTGCTCCTACCACCCCACCCCTCCCCTGCTGCCATGGCAGCGGAACGCGAGCGCACAGGGCCCACAGTGTCTGAGGATGGACGTTGGCGCAGACAGGCAGAGACCAGCTGACTACATAGGTGGTTTTTATAGTACGTTATTTTGGCCTCCCTCTCAGCAGGTGTGAAAAAGGCCACCATTTTTGAACACGGTAGCGAGGGTCCAACAAGGTGGACAGCCAAAAGTCATCCCTCTGTCTGATGGTTATTATTCGGCTGTCGCTACGCAAGCAAGCGAGCATGCTATGGGCCATTTGTGCCAAGGAATGCGAGGGACTCCCTGCCTTCATCTCCACAGCATACTGCCACGGTGCGTCTGGGTCCTCTGTCTCCTCCTCCTCCTCCTCTACCAGATGCTCCTGCTCCTCCACTCCTGTCCGCTGAGTGGAAAAAACCACCCATTTCACTCAATAATTCCTGAGCACCAATGTCCTCCTACTACTCCTCCTCTTCTTCCTGTCCTGCCCCCACAGGGGTCATGTGGCGTTGAGAGATCTGTGCGCCACGTCTACCGCAGCCTGACCAGCCATTGTTAACTAAGCATTTGTTCCAGGACGTGCAACAGAGGAATGACGTCGTTCATCCCATAGTCCTGCCAACTCACGAATAGCGTGGCCTCCTCAAAGGGCCTGAGCAAGCGCAGGTGTCACGCATGAGCTGCCAATGGCTGACATCTAAGTTACACAGGGAGTACCTTTATCCGCTTTTAACATCAGGAAATCTGTGATGGCCTTTCGCTGTTCGTAAAGGCGGTCTAAACATATGTAGGGTTGAATTCCACCTTGTTGCAACGTCACAGCATGAGGAGTCGGTACGGGGGCCCATGGCAGATTACGTGCCTCGCAGCAGCAATGGGAGGCCCGTAATCTGCCAGCACCCTATGTCAAAAAAAATTCAACACACCAGCAGTGTGAGGAGACTGAAAGTGGCACATGGCAGAGTGTGGCTATGGAGACAAGCAGCAATGGGAGGCCGTACAGGGACCCATGACACACTCTGGACTTGGCAGCAGCATGAGGAGAGGAGGCGGTATAGGGGCCCATGGCAGATTAGGGGCCTGGCAGCAGCTATGGGAGGCCCGTAATCTGCCAGCACCCTATGTCCCAAAAAATTCAACCACACCCAGCAGTGTGAGGAGACCTGAAAGTGGCACATGGCATGAGAGGACTGTGGACCTGGCAGCAGCATGAGGAGGCGGTATAATAGGGGCCCATTGGCAGATTAGGGGCCTGGCAGCAGCTATGGGGGCCCGTAATCTGCAGGCACCCTATGTCAAAAAATTGAAACACACCAGCAGTGTGAGGAGACCTGAAAGTGGCACATGGCAGAGTGTGGCGATGGAGGACAGAGCAATGGGAGGCCGTTTACAGGGACCATGAGAGACTCTGGACCTGGCAGCAGCATGAGGAGGCGGTATATTAGGGGACCTATGGCAGATTAGGGGCTGGCAGCAGCTATAGGAGGCCCGTTAATCTGCCAGCACCCTATGTCAAAAAATTCTAACACACCAGCAGTGTTTTGTGAGGAGACCTGAAAGTGGCACATGGCAGAGTGTGGCGATGGAGACAGCAGCAATGGGAGGCCGTACAGGACCCATGAGAGGAGACTCTGGGACCCTGGCAGCAGCATGAGGAGGCGGTATATAGGGGCCTATGGCAGATTAGGGGCCTGGCAGCAGCTATAGGAGGCCCGTAATCTGCCAGCACCCTATGTCAAAAAATTCTACACACCAGCAGTGTGAGGAGACCTGAAAGTGGCACATGTCAGATTGTGTGGCGATGGAGACAGCAGCAATGGGAGGCCGTACAGGGACCCATGACACACTCTGGACTTGGCAGCAGCATGGGGAGGCGGTATATAGGGGCCCAAGGCAGATTAGGGGCTGGCACAGCAGCTATGTGAGGCCCGTTAATCTGCCAGCACCCTATGTCAAAAATTGAACACCAGCAGTGTGAGGAGACCTGAAAGTGGCACATGGCAGAGTGTGGCGATGGACGACAGCAGCAATGGGAGGCCGTACAGGGACCCATGAGAGGGAATCTGGACCTGGCGAGCAGCATGAGGAGGCGGTATATAGGGGCCTATGGCAGATTAGGGGCCTGGCAGCAGACCCCCGGCAGCTGCTATAGGAGGCCCGTAAATCTGCCAGCACCCTATGTCAAAAAATTGAACACACCAGCAGTGTGAGGAGACCTGAAAGTGGCACATGGCAGAGTGTGGCGATGGAGACAGCAGCAATGGGAGGCCGTACAGGGACCCATGAGAGACTTGTTAGACCTGGCAGCAGCATGAGGAGGCGGTATATAGTGGGCCCATGGCAGATTAGGGACCTGGCAGCTCTTTATGGGAGGCCCGTAATCTGCCAGCACCTATGTCAAAAAATTCAACACACCAGCAGTGTGTGAGGAGACCTGAAGTGGCACATGGCAGAGTGTGGCGATGGAGACAGCAGCAATGGGAGGCCGTACAGGGACCCTATGACAGACTCTGGACCTGGCAGCAGCATGAGGAGGCGGTATATAGGGGCCCTATGGCAGATTAGGGGCCCCCCCCCTGGCAGCAGCTATGGGAGGCCAGTAATCTGCCAGACCCTAATGTCAAAAAATTCAACACAACAGCAGTGTGTGAGGAGACTGAAAGTGGCACATGGCAGAATTGTGGCGATGGAGACAACCCGCAATGGGAGGCCGTACAGGGACCCATGACAGACTATGGACCTGGCAGCAGCATGAGGAGGCTCGTTATAGGGGCCCATGGCAGAGTAGGGGCCTGGCAGCATCTATGGGAGGGCCGTATCTGCCAGCACCCTATGTCAAAAAATTCAACACACCAGCAGTGGTGGTGAGGAGGACCTGAAAGTGGCACATGGCAGAGTGTGGCGATGGAGACAGCAGCCAATGGGAGGCCGTACAGGGACCCATGGACAGACTCTGGACTGGCAGCAGCATGAGGAGGCGGGTATATAGGGGCCCATGGCAGATTAGGGGCCTGGCAGCAGCTATGGGAGGCCGTAATCTGCCAAGCACCCTATGTCAAAAAAATTCAAAACACCAGCAGTGTGTGAGGAGACCTGAAAGTGGCACATGGCAGAGTGTGGCGATGGAGACAAACCCACCGACTGTTTTGCTCGCTGCCAAGCTGCCACCCTCTTCTCCTGATGATGCGGAAGCAATAGCCTGATGACGACGAGGCTGCCAAGTGCGATCAGCCTCATCATCATCAATTAGGGTCTCCGCCTCACTACTAGCCCCTCGGCTGCGTGTGTGGGTCAGGAGACAGACCTGTCTCTAGACCGGCTACCGAGCCACTCTCCTCGCCACTACTTCTTCGCCTGGCTGCTGAAGAGGCGGATGTCTCCCCCCGTTCCTGACCGCCCTCTGTTAGCTCTTCCTCACTGTACTGGATGACACCGGGGAGCACTAGCCTCTGGCTGCGAATAGTGCTGCCTCGACCCCTTCTCTGCTGCCACGTCTGCTCGCTCCTAAAACATTGCCTCCTCTGCCACTCCTCTGCATGTTGTCTGACATACTCTTTAATTAAACGATTCTGTGTCCCTGAGTAACAATTCTGTGTCCTGAGTAACGTTCTTGTGGCCCTAAGTAACATTTCTGTGGCCCTCAGTAACAATTTCTGTCTGTCCCTGAGTAACAATTCTGTTGTCTGTCCCTGAGTAACAATTCTGTGTCCATCAGTAACAATTCTGTGTCCTCAGTA